GGGGGGGGGGGGGGACCCACAGTTTTACGCCGTCTCCGAACGGCGATTGTATATTTTATGAGAAGCTGTTTTTCATAGCAGAAATACACTCGGAGGTTCGCCATTGCCTGCCGAGGGGCGATCGCTGTTAAGGAAAAAGCTTTTTATACCCTAGCGCACTTGTACACAAGGGTATTACAACTTTGTGCACATAACGGTTGTTTGTAACAGGCAAAACGAATCGAGATAGTTATAGACACATGTATACAAAAATGTCAGAATGAAAAAAGAAATCGATTAAGCGGTGACTGTCTGTCCGTCCGCCCGACCGTCCGTCCGTCTGTGCATACTCCAGAAAAAATCGAGATATCTACATAAACCAAACTCGGTATGTGTAACTCGGACAGTAAACACGGCAACCTTCCCTATAACGGTAGTTTTCATAAATACGAAAACTGCGATATTTTAGTAACTACTGAAGCTTATTCAGTAAAAATTGATATTTACAATGATTTTTAGACGAAAAATAAGAATATTATAAGTTTTTGAAAAATGGGCGTAACCACGCCCGCTTATGATTACATGTGTATATCTCGGTAACCGCTCCACCAATTTCCCCTAAACTTGCCACGGTTGCTGGTCTTGGTACAGAATACCCACACCCACATCCCATATAACGGTAATTCAGAGGAATACTAAATCTTCGATAAAGCCGTAAATACCGAAGCTAATTTATTCAAAATTGACGTTTGTAATAATTCTTTAGCACAAAATACGTTCATGATAAAATTTTGGAAAATGGGCGTGGCACCGCCCACTTATGACCACATACATATGTGTATCTCGGTAACCCTTAGGCACGGTGCACATTAGAGTGATACGATATGCGGTGCGATATGCGATACGATATGGATGCGACATCGACATGCTGAGTACGTGGTAATTGGTAGGAAGCGATGAAAACTGTGCACACTTGCACGACAGCGTCACCGCTGTGATATAATATTGCATGCAGTGTTGCCAACTTCTGAAACTTCTTTAGCGGCGATTGGTTGGTTGGGAGTAAATTGGCAAATTCAACGGAAATTGCACACGGAAATGGTGCAACGGAAATGTTTGGGGCTGAAACAAGTGCTTCTTTTGTGTATGCATATGGTATTAACTTAACAAAAATTTGCTAATAAAAGGTTGAAGAATAACACTTAGAAAAAGACCAATACAAGAATGAAAGTAATGGGACTACGTACATAAATAAAGAAAAGGATAAAGGCAAAGGTAAATATAAAAACAAAAACAAAGATGCGTAAAGATGAAGGCAGAAATGGAGACCAAGGTAAATTTAAACACTTTACTTATATATATAAGGGCAAAGGTGAAGGGGAATATGTAGCTGAAGAAAATGATAAACATAAAAGTAAAAACAAAGATAAGGATGAGGATACCGATAAAAGTAAAGACGAAGATAGGGGAAGAAATGGTAGAATAAAGGTAATTAAAAAGGAAGGGATATAGAGAGAGACACAGAGACTCAATCAGGGAACTATCTTGGGATTATAGAAATGTTCGGGATTCTCGAGACTTATCGATAAACTAATCGATATTTTTATCAGTTTTGTTATAAATATCTTTATCGACTTTGTTATCGAAATTTTTTATCGATATTGTTTGCAATTTTGCTATGGATGTTTTCGAAATTTATCGGTATAATAATCAATATTTTTATCGATTTTGTTGTCGATATTTTTATCGATTTGTTATCGCTGTTTTTTATCGATTTTGTTATCGATATTAATACATTTCGTTATCGGTTATGTTATCGATATTTATCGATTATGTTATCGATATTTATTGATTATGTTATCGATATTTATCGATTATGTTATCGATATTTATTGATCATGTTATCGATATTTATCGATTTTGTTATCGATATTTATCGATTTTGTTATCGATATTGGGATGAAATAACACAAACGGCAATAACGCAAATTTGTGTTATTTCAAAATTAAATGTGAAATAACATAAATTAGTTTTTTTTTTTTTATTTCTCCTTGTGCAATAATACAAACTTGCAGTGCACATAGGTGACACCCAGTTACATTTGAAAAAAAGTAGTACATGAACAAATTAAATGGACGGATTTGTAAGTCTACAATTTTGAAAGTGCCCAGCGTCGCGGCGCCCCCTCCCCTACTTTCGCAATTAAATATGTACTGCTGTCATTATAACCGTTTAGAAAAAAGAATAATAATAAAATGACACTAGTTCACTTCTGAAACTGTTATTTAATGTCCAAGTAATGGTAATTATTGCGTATGGTCTTATTGCATGCACCCCACCCATGATGGCATTATACCAGGTGAAGTAACATTAGAGTGAGAATAAAGATTTTGACACTGCTTTATTTGAAAGTTTGCCTATAAATTGTGACTATAAGGCAGCCGATTGTCAGAAAATAAAGCGAGAAAGCTGTTTTATTACTTCACCTGTTTATTACGCGATTCATCCCAACCGCTTGTACCGCTTGTATACGTTCAAATTTAGAAGTCTGAGAGTAGGTAAAATTTTTACAAGCTTTTATTTAACTTGGTCATCCCGCGGAAATCGCGGAAATTTCCAATCGATTTTAAACAAACTTCTCGACAAGTTAGAGACTTGAAATTTTCAGCATAGTTCCAATCACGATGAAAATGCAATTTAAAATATAAATGAATTCCCTATATGGTCCAGGAGGTCTTGATTCAAAGGCGGTCAAAAAATAGTAAGATTTACGGCTATAAAAGCTATAAAATTGTTAAAGCTGCCGCCGGTAGTGTAGCAAAGCTATTTGTGGCAAATTCTAGATATCAACCTAGTCTAGATATGAACCTCGTTGTACGCATCATATCAAGGAGATACAATTAGAAGACTCCAGATGTCGCCAGAAGAAGTTAAATATTGTGCCTAAATATATGCACCATTGACATACGCTACAGCGGAAATGGACGACACGCCATTTCTTTAAATGAAATTAACTGCTGCTATATGTACATATGTATGTATGTTTATACAAAACCACAGAATAAACAGTATACAGAAGACGCGTGTCGACTATCACAAGCGGCGCTGCTTCTGTTACTTTAGCAGTATTTTCACCCGGCTGACGCTGTTAATTCCATCCTCGCTATGACAAGATGTTAACTTACTTCGTTTTCCATCACGATCAGCGT